AAAATTTTGTAAAAATCGATGAATTTTAAGCTAAATAAACAATATATTTGCAGATTTTCCTATTATTATTAAAAATATTATAACATTATAACTTACCGATAATACTATGCAAATGATGACAAATACTGACCCTAAAACATGATGACCTACTGATCAGACTACTTTAACTGACCAGATAGTAACGCTATCCACAGTGGCATGGAAGCTTACCGTATCACTCACTTAATTAATTCATTGATAAATAAAAATTACTTTATAGTGTAAACGAAAAAGGTTGACAAAGTGATAACGACCACCATGCTGCCATTATTCGAGAAATAAGATTAAATTAATTTGTAGTGACAAGGAATTGAGCATTTAATTAGAAGGGCAAGATGATACGGGTATTTTATCATCGTGATTAGTTATACTTCCACTCTCTCATTGTTTCTAAAATAGCAGAAATGATTAGTGTTAAATATGGTAAAAATAAGTACATACAAGAAAAATAATTGAAAAAACGATATAAAATGGTTAAAATTTCTCATCAAATATGGCACAGTTTATTAGAATGCAAATTACGGGGCCATTAGGTCAACAATTAGGTACCTCAATGAAAATCACACACTTCAAAGATGATAATATAGTTTGCAATTAGCCAAAAAAACAAATGCAAATATCATAACAATTGGACACATTAAATTATGCTTCGATCATTAAATTCGAATTTAAATAAGCACTAATTTTAAATCTATACATGTAGTTTTTTTTCTACGGACAGATTTATATTAGTAGTTTAATTTTATATTTTTGCAACAAAATTGATCATTTCGATCAAATTTTGGAAAATCAAAAAAATGATTAAAACGTAATTTTTTCTTCTTTTTTTATTGAGCGCTGTCAATGGATAGATTTTAAAAAAAGCTAAAAGATTTTCGAAAGAAAAATTCATTGAATGTTTATTTTTGGCATTTTTAAAACTTGATTAACTGTCAAAAAAGAGAAAATCAAAATGAGTGAAAAATATCAAAATGCAAAAATTTTTTAAGAAAGCAAATAGAGGAATAAAAATGATTTCCATTTCATTTTAATCGTTTTTCAGAGGATTTAATTCAGTTAATTGTTATTTCATCATTCGTATCGTCTTGCACAGTTTTATAATTTGACTAATAAAATTTAAGTGCTTCAAATTTCAATTAATCGGCATCTATGTTAAGTTCAGGGAAGATAAGACGAAAAATCAGAGAGAAAAAGCAAAAAAATATAAAAATTGATAGAATCATTGAGTAAAAGTGGGATGAAAGATAAAACGTGAGATGTAAAAAGGATGAAAAGTTAAAAATTGAACTAATAATTGTTTAAAAATTGATATATTTACGTTAAAACTATTAATTTATGTAAGATCTTTTGTCACTTTCTTTTTCTTCTCAAAATCATTCCATCAATATATTTTCATTCACTTAAATTAATTTTTTAATCAATAAAAGAAATTATCAATTACAGCTCGTTGAGTGAAATTATATGCTATACCGCATGTTATTCAATATTGTATTATCAAATGTTGACAGCAATCAAATTTTCACTTTCAAAAAAAAAACATAATTTATAGACCTTAAATTTATTTGCTTCATTCAGTAACTTTTGGCGATCATTAGATAATGAAAAGTTTAACTAAATAATTATCATAGTTTTATTAAGCAGCAAATGATGTGTACAATATTTAAAAAATTTAAAATTTTTGGAGAAAATTTCATTGAAATATTTGAGAGTTGTTTTAATTATACTTTTTGGAATTTATTGAATGTAAATATTCAAAAATTGAAGAATATTTAAAAATTCAGTGACTAATCAAGATAATGAGTGGAGAAGGAAAAATGACAAAATTGCCGATAGCACCTCATGATTATTCTATCGGAATTTTTTTTATTTTTTCCATTGACAGCCTTGCCCGACTCATTTATTAGAACGGATCCGGTTTGTGCGGGCGGTCAATCTTACATGAAAATAGAGTAAATATCATCCCGGATATTCCGCTGAAAATCTGTTGTAGCAAACATGAATTATTTTTGTCCAATAAATTTTTTAAATTTTATTAATTTACATTTAAAAATGCTATGCAAATAATCGTGATGATTCTTTTCAAACCAAACTTAATACAATCTCGAATTTATTCAAAGAAAGCGAAATAGAAGATTGCAATATTTTATGTCAATAATATTTCACCTCAATATTATTTATAAAAAAAAAAATTTTTGAAAATCAGAATTAGACAAAAATAGAGTAAAATTTCATTTAAGAAAAAAACAAATTACAAAAGGTAACGGTGAATGAAGACCAGTTGGATCATACTTTTTTGTAATTCATTAATTTTATATGATTCCTCTAAATATAAATCGAATAACAAGTAATAATTGATTAACTGGTTGCGTTAATAGTTTGCATTACATGTTCCCATTTATTGATTGATTTGCTTTTTATCTTTATTTGTCATCAAATAACTAATTATAATTGATTAATTGATTGAGTATTGATGATTGCGCTAAATTGAATATCTTGAATGAGTAACTGAATGCCCTTTTCCTTTCATTTTCTTTTACAATTCGATCATTATTAATTTTCAAACTAATTGGTCATTAATACCTATTCCCTTTATTTGTTTTTTTTGATGACAAAAAAAATTGTTTTATTAATTATTTGAGCAATATTATTACTTCGACACCATATTTTTTCGTCATCTACAATAAATTTAAAAAAAGTTACTGAAAGAAGTTTTTTCGACAATTTGTAAAGTAAGAAAAAGATGAAATTAATTTTACATTTTAAAAATATTCCAAACGTATCATTCACAATTTTTTGCCAAAGAACAATTTGCTATCATAATTATCATTATTATTATTATTGTCATCAACAAACCTATTTCACTATAATTGATGAATGTATTGAAAAGCATAAAAAATCATTACGCACACATATGAAAATTTAAAATTTTTTAAGCCCAAACAAAGAATTAAAAAACAAAAAAAAACAGAAACGATAAATTTTTATCAGCCTTCAAATTTTCAGAAGATAAATTTGATTTTAAAAAAATTAACAGTAACACATCTCTGAAGAGATATGTCAAGGTTAAGCAAAAATTTTAATTGTCCCAAAATCATATGAAATTACCAAAACTTTTCGTTTTTTAAAAAAGAAAGATTATGAATAACAGAATTTGTGGATGTTCTGAGATGAGGATAGGAACGATATGGTAATGATGCAATGATTTTTCGAGATCTTTCATCTGACGGCCTTAAACATTCACCGAGAGATAAAATTTGAAATATGGAACAATAACAATCGGAGTGATGTCGAGAATAGGGAATGCGAAATTTTAAAAGAATATAGGTGGAAAATATAGATTTCAATCATATTAAATGTAGAAAAAGTAAACTATTTGTTCAATTTTTTCTGTAGCTATTAAATTTTTGAAAATTCTGCTTGAAATTACTTCGCTAATTTTTATTTCTGCTGATAAGAAAATTACTTCCACATAAACTAATCGATCATGCACAAATAGTAATCGCAAATTAAATCCCGTTATTCTTTCCTATTCCTTCTCTCCGTCCAATCATTCTGGATACGGTTTAGGATATGAATGGTTGATCAAACAGAATAATGATTACCATTATAAAAAAAATCACAAGTTTTGATTTTGGAAAGTTTTATTTTTCGTTTAGCACAATTGGAAGCCTTTTGTCAGAATGCATATTTTTTGATTTCATTAAAGTAATTCTGTTTGTGGTTGCACAAACAGCGCACGCATTAAAGTTTTCGAATTCTCAGTAAACTGCTACTCGAAATATTATTTAATAAATCGATTTCACATGCTTTAATATAATTTCTTTATTTTTATCACTATACATTAAATGTTCAAACAAAGATTAACAAGGTATGAATATAAGGTATTCATCATCAGAAAGTATTTTCATGAAGTATCGATCTTCAGAAGGTATCTTTACAAAGCACCAGTCTTCAGAAGGACTTGATAATATTTTTAAAGTATGTGGAGAAAAAATCGTTATGAAAAATCTTCCAGCTATGATATTATCTTATCTCTGCCTTATCTTGCCACTTTTTTTATTTCCTTAGAAGGAAGCGTTCTTTTTTTTAATGCATTTAATTTTTCCTATTTAGGAGGTCCAATAGTTTTGATATTTTAGAGTATAAAAAATCAAAAGATGAAAAAATCATGAAAAAACTATTTTTTTAATGATTTATAATTCATAATTCAGAATATTTCTGCAGCTAAGCGGAATTAATAGTGTTTTATAATTTCTGCATACTTTTTCATCTGTCTTTTTTGATTTCACTTCATAAATAACCATAAATTCATCTTTTCAAGGTAAAAATTACTGCTCGAAGAAATTCCGTTATCACTTTTGACGAAGCATCTTTAAGCAGTAATTTTAACGAAGATAAGTAACGCTGCTAATCAATGAAAAGAAAAAATTAAATCATCATTTGATGTTAAATGTGCATAAAATCGTTTGTTAAAGTTTTGTTGGATGATAAAAGAGACATGAAGAATAGAATAGGTAAGATAGATGACGTAAAGAATGGAAAGTGTGGAATAGGTAAAGTAGATGACGTGAAGAATGGAAAGTGAAGGATAGTATAAGTTAGACAAATGACCTAAAGGATGGAACTTGAAATCAGTACGTTTTTTCGACCAGTTTTCCTGTACCGTCTGGTTAATTATCATACGATATTATACTGATGCAACAAGACAGAAATTTGCTTATTTTCTCTTTACTGATAATTAAATTCATTGATATCAATAACAAATTATAAATCAATAGCCAATATGGTCATAGAAAACAAGAAATACTAATTAGTTTCTGATACTCTTTCTGCCATTTCTTCTACAATTATACACATGTTGTATAATCTTGCGAAAAAAAATGATGAAAACGTGATACTTCCATGATTTCGATCAACTTTATATCAAATTTCAAAATCTGATATCTAATTTCAATACTTCATCAACAATTTATAGTTGAGCAACAAACTTTGTAACCATATCGATACGACATGACACAATTTGGTGTGTCCAAAAATGTACAGCTGTCAGCTGCAGAACAGTGTAATGGCTTTTTGGTACCCGGATAAACTTTTACTTTACCTATAATTTCGAAATCTTTTTCATTATTGATTTCTTTTTATTCTTGTAATATTATCTCTCAAAGACTAATTAGTACTTTGCATAGTTTCATAAACCGAAAATTAACTAACGAACTGAAATTATTTTAATTATTTTGGCTCCACCATTTGAGTGATATCATTTTATAAATGTTTCTTCATAAGAAAAGTATTGTAACTAATTGCTAAATTGACCTTTCACTTGCAATTCTTTTAAACAATTTTGATAAATCAAACCATAAATGTCGTTCGCATTGGTACCACAGCAAATATACTGTCCGCCATTATAGTATTCATTGTATTCGCAAAAATAACCAACCGTACAAGGCCAATATAAACAATTTTTCACCGTACCATTCATATATTCTACGTGTGCACGACGATCTTGGCATGTTGCTGAATTTTTTTTTTGAAATCATTAAATTAACATTGATAGATAGAGGAAAAAGAAAAGAAAAACAAATCGAGATCATTAAATTTTTTATATACATATAGAATTTTAATATAATACAATCATCAATTTTTATACATGTAGAATTTTTAATATTTTATTTTCTTTCTTGCCTTAAATCTTTAAAATAATATTTGCTTTTTTTTTAATTTGTAAAAAATTATAAAGAATCAAAAATTTAAGTTATTATAAAAAAGATAATTGGTAAAGCTAAAAATGAACAATCACTGATTATTTCGAAAATTTTAAAAATTAGGAATTGAAAAGTTAACGAATTAAAAGTGAACAAAAAATAGTTAAAGTTACGCTCTGAAGTATCGTCATCCATTCGGATCATACAATGACCATTGGCACAAATAAGTGATGGATACCATCTATCGATACATTGCTCACTGTACATGCATGCTTCACCCAACCGAGCAAATGGATGACACAATCCACCAATGGCTATCTGATTTCCGGGACAGGCTAAAATTTCATCAACAAAAACAGAATTTCGATTTCATTAGAATAATGTGAGCGAACTACTCAAAAACATTGAAATATGTTGATATCTTTATTAGATTATGATTGAAATTTAACCTAATAATGATATTTCTATATTTCAGAGTTTATTAAATTCAGCATTGCGAATGATTTTATTAATAGTTTTATGACTGTAAAATTAATTTTATGTGCTTTAAATTCTTTTATAAAAATTTTTTTTAATTTTGTTTTTTCTAACATAACGAATTAAAAGTGAATTAAAAAAATTTTCTTTTCTATAATATCTGATTCAACGATTTAACACTTTCCCTATTCACCGAATCCGATTTCTTCGCTTTGACTCATTAATTAATCAATCAAAAATTTTGAATTTGTTTTTTGGATATCATTTTCCCAACATCTCATAAACAGAAAATTAGTTGGATCAATTTTCTATTACATACAAATAATGACGTGTATCAATTCGTAAATAATCATCAAATAGATATTACTAATTTTATTCATAATTAAACAAACTTAACAACTTTGATAGCTAACTTTTAGAACGCCAAACACATTTGCTTCCATCAAAAATGTGACCCAATTGACAAAGGCAAATTCCATCAGTGCAAAAAGCGCCAATATAACCGCATTGTTGCGTAAAATTACACAAAAAACCATAACTCACTTTCCGATAGCACTGTCCATTTATCAAAATTTGATTTAATGGACAAAAAATTGGAGCTGTAAATTCCACGTTGAGAAGTGAATATACCGTAATTGTGAAACACAACGGTATACGATATTCAAATTATAAATTTAACAATCGCGAACATTTTCTATTTCTTTTTTCTATCTCCAAATATTTTTAGTTCTTTCTTTTATCATATATTTCTATCATTTAGTTACCACTGTTCAGTTTACTCTTCAAACTAATTGTAACTTAAGGTCAAAGGTTTTATGGTAGTGTAATTTATGTTTCAATCCACAAAAATTTATATATA